CAAATGTAGCTTCAGCATATCGCTTCTCTTTTTTCGAAAATGACTTGTTATTTGATGCGAAAAATATTTGTCCGTAACTCACCGTCAGCCATTTTGCCCTACCTAATCTCGGCGGGCAGCTAAGCGATTGTCAAAACAGTCAGTTTTCCGCCGCCGCCGCCACCACCACCACCAATATCGGGCCCCAATCTTGGCGTTTTTATCAAAACGCTAGTTAAAAGCTCAATTACCCACTACTCTTCGCCGTTTCCGCCGGACAAAACCGTAAAAAGTATAATCTGCCGAGCAATTATCAAGCATCACTTGTCCGGCACTCCCTCGCACTCGTTCTGGCTCTCTCCACCCGCAGCTTTGTGGCCGACTACGATTATGATGGGCGCAACGGCAAGAAGAAGAAGAAACTGGAGTACCAAAGAGAAGTAGCTGCCCCCGACTACAGCGACCATTAACGCCTAGATTTTAGAAGATTAGCGACACCTTTCCTTTGTTTTGGGGTCTAATGTGAGAACCCCCTCCCGTTTCCAAGCAAGAGCTCTTTCGAATTGGAATCCCTTTAGTCCCAGGAGTCGGAGGTACCGGTGCTCGCCCAAACCCGATCCAAGCCAAGCGCGCCTAACGACCTACTAGGGTAGTATAATTAGTCAATTTTCTTTTAACACATTTCCGCACCCAGCGTTAGTCGCAGTCAAACGCTTTTACACTTTTTATTTGTAATTAAACTTTTAATGCGTTTTTAGTAACCGCCCGTAGCAGCAGCAGCAGCAGAAGCTCTCCCCCATTCGGTCGAACTAATAATAATGATAATAGTGGTAGAAAAAATATGAAACAAAGTTAAAGATAACTAATTCTGATTTTCCTTCGCCGCCGCTGCAGCGGACCCCTCGGTAGCGAACGGGGGTGGGGGGGTTTCTATTTATACAATATTTATGTGTTTCCGCACGCATCGAAGTGAGCACTGCGCGCGGGGACCGAAAAGTCATAAACCAGATAGCTCTAAATCGCTAAATTTTGAACCGTTCCGTTCGTTCGCCCTCTACCGGCACCTTGCCTTGGTTGGTCCAATTAATTTCATCAAGACAATGTTATCTTGGCCAGAAAAGTCTGGCTTTTAATTAATTTTTCAACAGCAGCGATTTTTTTCTTTCTTCTGTCGATGGTGGAGGTAACTATCCGACCGGCCAACTGCTTTATTTCAGTGAATTTTAAACGTTTTATAGGTTATTTATGAGATTTTAACGCGCTCGAGAGGTGAAAATTGACCGGCACAGCAAGCTGCGCCGATGGACTACGAAGAAGCGTGGAAAGGGGAAGCAGAGCAGCAGCACCCCAAAATTGACAGTTACTCGATCAGGTTGGATGGATGGATGACTGGATGGAGAGAGAAAAAAAAACCTAGTTGAGAAAAATGTGTGTGAAGAGAAGGGTGCGCTGTGGATTAAAGTGTCAACGAGCGATCGAGCGAGCGGTGAGATACAAATTTAAAGAAAAGTCATTCGTTTTATTTTTAAGCTGATTAGAGAACGAAAGCCATTAACCTCGGGCCGTGTAAGATTAAAACCGGAATCGAATGTGACGTCTTGATCGGACGCGCGCTAATTGCTTTCTCACGCCCCTCGGCGTGTCAACAGTACGAAAGCCTTCATCGACTGACTTTTGTCGTTTGTCAATCGATTGACGGGCGGCAGTTGCAAGCGAAGTGGCCTACTGTTTTCGGGAATCGAAAGGCAGGGGTTTTGAGGTTGGCAAAGTTGTTCGAATTCTGCAAGCAGTTGGAATATTTCACCGACATCGTTAATATTTTATCGAACAGTTGAAATGATCGGTAAAATTCAGACATATCGATTTGAAACCATCAAAGCAATAAAGACTCCTTTACAATCAACAGAAATGCATCATTCTATAAGCTTAGTTCTTATCGCAGAAAATAGCTGTCAGAATGAAGGTCAAAGCTTTACCGAATGTTCAGCTTTTGAAAGTTCTATGGAGTTTAACCGAAGTCGGTGATTTGATTTGAGTGTGCATCAAAATGATAAATTCACTATCATTTTGATTGAAAACAGGTAGGGGTGCCCGAGATGCAGAAGATTAATTTTTCAAATTCTAAATTCAGATTCGAATATCTACACTTGACGTTCGGCAGCTGAATAATGCTTGATTTTGACAGATAAGCGTAAAATAATTGAAACCTTTTTTCAGATTGTGGACATCCAATTTACAGTTTTTCCAATGGACCACATCATTCGAGCAGTTTAAAATTACGTTTCCAACCACTCGAGCTTTACCAGGAAGCAATATTATGCGATTCTTTCTTCTACTAGAAACTGGATAAAATAAGGTCCCAACTAATCTTAAATTTACTGCCTCCTTTTCTTTAAATCTCTGGTAGAAGCTCGTCCCAAAATTGTTCGATTATATGATTAACGTTCCCCACGTTCAGTGTAATAAAATAAAAGAATTAAACTCAATTTTAACTTATCAAAATAACACATTTAAAACACACAATAGAACCGCTCCGAACTTGACTATTACTATCAAAATTTGCCAGCCATAACCGTAGGGATGCTTCAAATATGACAACCACAGATTAATCGATATTTTACCCACCTCCCTTGCCCTCTGTGACACGCTTTTCCCATACCTATTACACGTATTGTCACAAATTCTAAAACCCCCCTCTCAGCCCCTCACGATTTGACTAATCTTTTCGTAAAAGTTTGTCGGAAAATTAAAAAAAAAAATCATGAAGAGGAATTTATCAAGACTTGCCCACCTGGACACGTTTGTCATTGGCAGCAGCAACTAAAAGTGACAAATGGCACATTAGCGCCACATGGTGAAGGAATTCGGAATTAATTACATCATTCGAGCAGTTTAAAATGACGTTTTCAACCACTCGAACTTTGCTGTGGATCAATATTTGGAGAATTGGGTTCTTTTAGGGTATTGAGGTGAATGCATATTCGTAAACTGCAGTAAACAATAAACCGAAATCCAACATTTCATCAATGGGGTTGTTGATTTTCGAAAAACGTACCGGTTTATCCGTATCATCTGATCGAGCTTCGTTTTCTGAGCACAGAGATATTTTGATCGATCCCATTGACATTCAACTCGAATTTTAAATCATGATTTAAATAATTAATTTTTAACACTCAATCTATTAGTTGACAGCTCGCTCCCATACAAAATACTACCAAGGGGCGCTAAGAAGGTGATCTTTCCTAATGTAATCGCAAAAATAGTTCCTGTGCACCGAAATTGATAAAATTTTGGATTTCGGTTCCGTTTTTCCCACCTCAATACCCATAAACAAACCAATTGACCACTTTGTCAAGCAGTTTTGGCGTGACTTTCTTCCAGCGATTTCACAAAACTGGACCAACTAATTTCTATTTTTTAATGAAACGCACAAATGTTGGCTACTATTCTCGAGGTTCTAGAAGAAAAAATCTCAAAAATAGGTTTTACTTCAAAGTTCGAGTGGTATTAAACGTCATTTTAACTGCTCGAATGAAGTGGTTAATTGTGGTACACTGAAACTATTTTAAATAAGTGCAATAACATTAGCAAAAATCACCATCTGAGCACCCCCCAGTGTTAAACAGTGAATTTATTATTTTACTTTAAATCTTGAATTAAAACTCGTGATGAAAGTCTATGGGTTCAAAAAAATCGTTGTGCTCGAAAACGAAGCTCTTTCAGATGATATATCCGGAGTGATTTGAGATTTGAGCGTAATTGCATTTGTAAACAAACACGCTTATCACCGATTTATCGCGAGTAAAATTTTCAATCTCGAAAACTAAAAACACTATCAGAAGAATGATTTGTCTTTCGTTTGGAATAGTTCTGTTTTACGAGATTGAACTTTTGTTTACGAGAAATCGGTGATTTACGTGTTTGTTTACAAAAACAATTACGCCCAAATCTCAAATAACCCCGGATTTAAAAACCGATAAATTTTCCAAATTAAAGAACCCGATTTTTGCATCTAGATCTTCGAAAAATTAGGATCTTATTTATACGAGGCTTGAAAAATCAGGAATTTACAGCCTCATTTTCTTTAAGTCTCTGGTAGAAGGTCCTAAAACTGCTCGACAATATGATTAATCGTCAAGCAGTTTGAGAGTGACTTTCTACTAGCGAATTCCAAAAACTGGACAAGCAAATTACTATTTCATGATGAAACGCACCACTATTGGCAACTTTTCTCGTGGTTCTAGAAGAAAAATCTAAAAATATTATTGCGAAGTGGTAGGTAGTAAACGTCATATTCAACTGCTCGAATGAAATGGTTAATTGATCGACTCTCCGACCGCAGGAATGAACTCAGTGAGTCAGTCACTTTTACTCAGATGTATGGGATTTTCTTTACATTGGGTTACTCAGTCTCTGATAACTCTTCATCACTGCTTTTGTGAACAATGACTTTATCCGTCGAATTCTCACGAATAAAAGCTCGCTCATGCAAATTTACTATAACCAGTTGGTATGGCTAGTAATAAAGCAAGCAATTGAATGTCAAACGGTACACTAGCGCCAAGACTGTTTACCATCGAATAGGTCTAGTCCTTGTTCTAGCGAAGACAAATCGTAGTCACCTTAAGACTGCTGCGATTGATTTCAAATTGATAAACATACCAAATCAATGCGTTACTCTCTCGTAGTCAATATGCAACAAAATTCGTTCGATTTTGACAGTTAAAAAAATGTCGATCTTGTTGATGCAGTAATTCTCATTGCCGAGCTCAAAGACCCAAGCACAATGAGGGCGAAAGCAAAGCGGCAAGAAGTTTAACAGTTATGTGACAAATCTCAACATAGGGGTCTTACTGACGTCGATTTTATTCAAATAAATTTCCCATCTGTCAGGTAGACTTTTCCGATGCCTCAACCGTTTCGTTTCCACTGTCGCAATGCGTTCCAGCAGCTCACTAATTACTCACGGTCCCGCTTCTAGTACACTCCCAATCCAACGTAAACAAAACGGCGCCACTTACCGTTGCTGCACACACTGGAGCTGTCCAGGGGACCGCTGTCGTCGCTGTCACTTTCACTCTTGACATCGTCGTCCACCCCGTGATGGTGATGATGGTGATGGTGGTGATGCAGGCCTAGGTGATGTTGCGCTCCCGGCGTCAAGCCACCGGCTCCCGGATGATGCAGATGATGTCCCCCCGGTACTATGCTCAGATCCCGCGGACCAGGGCTCGGCGTTCGACCTTCGCTACTGCTACCGTTGATGCTGTCCGCTCCGCCACCTCCACCTCCTCCTCCTCCTCCACCGCTACCGCCGTTGCCCTGATGACCCTGGTGGTGGTGATGATGGCTTTGGCTTCCGGCCAGGATATCGTTGATCATGAACCGTGACCGTGGAGGCTGCAATACGGCCATCGAGTTTCGCTGTACCGGTACCGTCATGCCGCCGCCTCCGCCGGTGATATCCGATAGGCTATTAATCTTGGTTAGCTCGAATGGGCTTTCGCCCGGAATATGCCACTGGAGCACGATTTTGACTGCTTTTCACGGACGCGGTCTCGAAAACAAAAGGTCACACCCGCACCGTACCTTCGGGTTCCTGCCACCAAATCCCACACGAACGCACTCTCACTCAAACCCTTCCGAGTTGCTTTCTTTCTGTCAGATTTTCGCTCTTGGATCGTTTTGCACCAATGTTTTCACTCACTTGTGCTCAGTAATTCATTGATTATCAATTTTCACTTTTGTCACTGCACTTTTTCAATCACTCAAGAATGTGATTCTTCACCTTAATCCATCAAACGTCACTGCCACCGCCGCATTGCATCGGTTCCGACGTGATCTTCAATCTGCCCTTTCAAAAAACAAAACCTCAACTTAACGTTTGATGTTTTCACGGATCACGGATCACTATGCTTCATTCATCGGGGTGCAATTTTTCCCAAAGCACTCACTCAGTAAGCGACGGTGATTTTCCACTTGACGAGGGCAGATCGATCTTCTCGCAAAGTAGGCGACGACGACGACGACGACGATGCATCAATAACAACAAACACTACGACGCGAGACTCTAACAACAACAACGGCACCGAAGAAAACGACGACGATCAGCGCTACGGCGACGCACTGTACGCATCCAGAATCTGTTCCACGGGTCGGTCGGTCGGTCGTCCGTCGAGGGGAGAGACAGCAAGAGCGAGCAAGCGAAACCGAGATAGAGGGCGCACAGATAAAAGCATTTATCAGATTAGAGCTCTCAAAACCTGCCGCCGCCGACGACGTTCAGGACAAAAACGCACATGTTCTATCGATCAACGTTAAACGTACACTAAAAAGCGAACATTTTCCAAGCGTCAACACAACCAGACCCCGACCGGAGAAACCGGATCCGGCACGGCACACAACGAACCGCAGGGAGGGACGCAATGAACGCACACACATGCGCCACCACTTGGGAGAGGGAGAGACTCTCTTCCGTCGACGTCGCCACCATGCCTCAAAAAATGGAGCTAGAAGCCTTCGTACCAAAGCGGAATCCCCGATACATAAGCTTGACATCGCACGCACACTACCAACGATTTCACGTAAGTATCCGTGCCTTCGCCAGTTGCCGTTCATTGTACTCCGAGAGAGCGAACCCGTCCGGGTAGGCCACGCCTATCCACCCGAATCCAAGCCAACCACCGATCGCAGCAAAGCGAACAGCACAAAAGCTGTGATTAGAAAAATGCTCACCGCGAAACAGAGAGAGCGCCACGCAAAGGGGCGGAGCCCCAACTGTACCCTCACCAATACACTCGCACCCTCGCTGCTCTAATCACCAAATATGCAATGCAACTTGATGCTCATAGCCACTTAACGTGTTTTACTCGCTTGTTTCGAGCGACGTGCAGATTCCTTCATCCCCCTAGGAAAAAAGAAAAACAGCTCGCTTCAACAGGACCGGAAGAGTGTGAGTGAGATATCTGCTCCTGCTCCTCCTCCTCCACCTTCTCTGCCCCCTCCCCCAGCCCTACGCAACAAAAACTGGAAATTTTGGAATGGGAGAGTGAACGAGACCACGAAGCTCTTTGCACACGCTTAAACATCCTTATTCTTTTTCCTAAGCCATCGAGTTTTCCCTCAATTTGCGCTATTAACTCCCTCCCGTTTCCCTCATCCCATCCTCGGAAATTTCCTCTTCATGTTCCGCGTGTGGTGGTGATTCAACGAGTTTGCTTAAGGGGAATGCGAGAGCTTAGAAGTTGTTTTTTTTTCGTCGTCCCCAAAATTGACAGGGGGAAAAAGGGAAACTTGAACCCGGGATACTGCTGCGCTAGACTTGATGCTTTTAAACTGGTGTGTCGTACCCCGGAACATAAAACGACTCATAAGAGGTGTAATTTAAAATTTAAATTGTGAAAAACAGCAGAATTAATGGACGCATCGCACCTCTCGCTTCCTCGCCGTCGTGTCGGAGTCGGTGTCGGAGTTTCGTTGAAGGGGGATGCTTAATGACACTTTTTCCCGAGCTGACACTTTCGTCTTTACCCGTTGCTAGGCTGTTGTTGTTGTTGGGCTGCAGTTTTGAGGAATTGAACCGAACTAGGATGCTCAAGGAGGAGAAGTTAATTAGTCGTTGATATTTTTAGCACATGGTTTAATTTGACCGTCCGATGGTATGGTAATGGTTGATTTCTGATGTTTTACCCGTACGCCCCCTAGGGGGCGAACGTACTTGAGTGTCCGGCAGAGCAAATTGCCCTCTAATGTGATACGTCTGTTTTGTTCAATTAATGGAGGCAGGTGCGAGTGATTCCATTATGATACGGTGATGTAAAAGCGGCAGCATTTCAGAAAGGTTCCGAATGAGGATCAATCTAATGATCAAATTCGAAGCAGTCATTGTCCGGCTGGTAAAACTGTTAGCGCAGTTGGATTTTTTTTCCATAGCCCTTGAGAACGAGCTTGAGAAGGATAGTGTGTTTTCTTATATTCTGACTTGAGGATCACGTCGCAGCAACCTTTAGGTGACGATAAATCGCAGTCAACTGCATATTGCTGTGACTTATGTCAAATTGATAAATGACATTGACAAAAATCAATGCGGGATTCTTTTTTAACGAATGTATTTCCAATTCAGAGAAAAATTAGCATTTGGTGTCAGATTATCAGCGTTGCTGTGGCTGTCAGTTTCGTCGAATTATTTTCCCTGAAGCAGCAATGTTGTGAATGATTTTTTTTTTTTCGTTTAACCGAAAGCAAAATCATCGATTTAAGTCATTGTTTACAAAAGCTGTTAGGCCCTAATTCAAGCTCTATCTAGAATTGCGGTATTACGCGAAGTTTTACAGCTACACTGCTATTAGTATCATAATGATGGGCTTATATCCTTCAGTTCAATTGCAGTTCCACCCTTTTTCTTCAGTATGTGCTTGACAATGGACCAATATTCCTCAATTGGCCTTAGTTCCGGAGTATTGACCGGATGCCTCTCATTGGGAACCACTGAGACACAATTTTCACTGCACCACTGTTTGGTGGAATTTGAGTAGTAGCACCTTGCCAAGTCCAGCCAGAATAGGCAATCCACCTCATGCTTCTCCAGAAAAGGTTAGACTCTTCCGTAGGCACTTCACCTGGTAAATTTGCTGGTTCATGGTCCCAGAAGTAACGAAAGTTTCGCTTTTCAGTCTACAACTACAGATTGATTGCCTGACAAGGAACTTTTTAGAAATTTTGACTTCTTTTAAATTTTACATTCTTCCGGAGTACTCTTCCGGTCAACCGAGGTATAAAATTCCTGCCCAGGAATTAGATCGAAAGCTGCTCAGCAAACCACAAATCGTATAAGGATCAGAGCTTAAAATTATTGACTGCCTAGGCTGTAATTGAGTCATTTTTCCATAGAAAATGTACGCTCAGTCATTCAAAACAAATATTGGGTACCATCACGGCAGAATAAACGTGTTGACTGAGCTCCTGACTGAGTGCTCGGCTGTCAGTGACTCGTTCACCTCTGAATCATTCAGACTCTCACGAGGCAGTGAATGATGAGGCAGATGGCAGTTCATATTCATATCAAAATGAACCTGACTGTTTTGCGCACTGATAAGGATGTTCGTTTAAAATCGTATAAATATCCAAATCAATTTGAAGTTACATAAGATGCAATTCCAAATTGGTTGAAATTGTTTAAGATGAAAAATTATGATTCAATTATAATCCTCTTTGCAAGATTATATATGAGTTCGTTTGATGTCAATAAGGAATTATTTACGGCGTTCTATTTTAAAAAAGTTTGTGATCTTATATATGTGTGCAGAAGATCAGTTTCAGTCATATTGTCAAAACCAAAGATTGGACCATAACAAACAAAAAGTAACAGCCAATTGTTGCCAATATTCATGAGCTTCCTCACATTCAGCCAATGACTATCGGAATTTACTATGAAGCAAGTAAACCCGTGGATGCTGATGAATGTTGGTACCGATGATACAAGAGCTACTGCTACTTTTGGATTCTGGAGTACTCATAAATAACCACCGGATTTCATTGAAAATTCGAGCATTTATAAAAAGCGAAAACTTAAACGGGAAACATGGATTAAATGCACTACCAAGGGGCAATATTCTCCAGATACGAGAGCCATGGTGTTTCCAAAAGTAGATGCGGAGCTGAGAACCTGAGGATAGAGCTATTCCGTGACGGTAAATATCCAAATCATTGCCGATACATTACATTTACTGGAACTAGGAGTAATGCGGCAATTACTCAATGCATGGCGAACCGGATCGATGGCTAAAAAAGTTAAATGGAGTGTCAAAGAAAAGCAAGAAATTTCAGCAAAGCTCATTGTAAATATTGAGGTTCCCAAGTGAAGTTCATCGTCGTATGTGCTCATTGGACCACATTTCTCTTCGGATGGGTTTCTCACAACTATGTAGGTGTAGTTCTGCTCAAATATCACCTACCTTCCAGATATTACAAGCACTTCACATCAATAAACCAAACCCAAATCTGAACTCATTGCTGTTTCTCTGGGAACCATGTGTACAGTTGAAATTATATAAGATAAGTCATATATCATGCAGAACAAGATTGTATAATGCAACCTGCACTGCTCTAAGCAGTTTCAGCTAGAGGAGGAATGATATCATATAATACACCAGATCGAATTAGATTTAATCACGTATACAAACGAGGCATCATAATTTGAAATTTATTGCTCCGAATATACGTGCTCATATGCCAGCAAGGATCGCAGAAGAACTAAGGAGCTAAAGATCTTTGGTTCGAAACTAGGTATTGCAGGTAATATTGACTTTAAGCTTTAAATATGTTCATGATTTCAAAAGATAACTATTTATATTTCAATTTCCAACTTATATTCAAATCAATATCACCAGGTACCACTAACTATAGAAAATTGAAGGTTCATTTAAAAGGTATTTTTTTTCATGCTCTTTGCTTTTTGGTCTGCCATAATTTTAAAGATGTAATTTGAAAGTCGTACAAATAATATTTTAAATAAGATATTGGCATGTTTCATATTCATAAATAATATCATAATCATATTAGATGCAAGATTAAGTTATACATGGAGTTGTATAA